TCTTTCTTTGTTGAAAACCTTGGATGGCTCCCCACAGTTAGGGACAAACCTAGGTTTCTGAGCTTTGAGTTCAATGTCTTCCACAATCTGCCCCAACCCTGTGTTTCCAGCCCTATCTCTCACCAATATCCAGTATTCTCATGAATATTTATTGCAGGTCGCACTTACCTCTGGAGTACTTCTTATCTAGTCAGTTCTTTGCTGGAATGTCTTTTTTTTCTAATCTATTCTTCAAAGCCTAGTTTAAACATAATGAGGATGATGACGTATCAACAATCTATATTTACTCAGTCTTTACTTTTGGTAGGCACTAAGTATCAGAATGAATTCCTACTCTGACTCTGAAAGGTAATGATCATGATGATTGCCCATTCATTCATTCATTCAGCAATATTTATTGTGCTCCTAAGGTATGCCAGGCACTACTCTAGGCACCAAAAACTAAACAGACAACTCCCTTCCTTCAACAGGTTTACATTGCGATTTAAGGGACCAATACTATCATGCAATATGTCAGTGGTAAGTGCTGTGGAAAAAAAAATGAAGCAGAGTATGGGGATACCGGTAAAGGGAAGAGTTTGTGCAAACGCTTGAATAAAGACAACTGCTACCCTTGAGGATAACTGGAGGCAGAGAAAAAAGCAAATGCAAAAGGACTGCTTGACGTGTTTTGGCAAGGAGAGCATGACTAAAGAAGATGATGGTTGGAGTTGTGGGGAGGTGGGGCTAAATCCTACAGGAGGGCTTTATAGATTAATTTAAGAGTTTTGCCTTTTCCCTTAAGTTAGATGGAAAGCCATAGTCCTTTTTCAAAGAGTTGGGGGCTACTGCCTTCAAAATTGATCACAGGGGAACAAGGGCAGAATCAGGGAGATCTGTGAGGAGCCTACTGCAAAAATCCAGGTGAGACATGACAGAGGTAGGGAGTAGTGGTCAGATCCTGAATCAACTTAGAAGGTTCAAGAGGCAAAATTTAGGTGGCAGTGAAAGAATGAGAGGAGCTAAAGATAGCTAAGTGTTTTGGCCTCTACAATTGGTGGGATGGAGTTGCTATTTGTTGCTATCTTATAGATAAAGCATTTGAGGTTTAAGGAGATTCAGTAATTCCTTCAAAGTCAACTGTCTAGTTGTCGTTACAGGTTTATCTGGAAATACCGAGTGGTAGTTCCTTTTCCCTCTAGGAAATAGCCTTCCTATGTAAAGACAGCACTGAATCTAGGAAGGGGTTATGGGATTTTTAGGATTTCCAAGTGTCTACATCTCCCAGAGCATCCAGAAAAGGACAGTACTCAGGTTGGGATGGCTGCAGGATGTCTTGGAAACAGTTTACAAAGCACTAATACCCTAAGTACTGGGCTGCTTTCTGCCCGAAGTGTAAAAGACCTCTGGGGAGAGTTGTCTCTCTCCAGACAAAGGAGAATTAATAGTATAACCCCAATTCAGTGTCCCAGGACCACTCAAACCCCAGAGGTCTTGTATAGTTCACTGCAATGGGGAAAAGAATCCCAGAAATAAATCTTTCCCACCTTGATGAGTGGGGATTCTAGCCATATTTTATTTGAAGGAGAAGGGAAATAAAGAAATATGATGGGGATGTTCATTATGGCATTGCTAATTAAGGGAAAACCTTGGGAACAAACAATGTTCAACAGCATGGGAAGAGCTGATATAATTAAGGTATTTATATAGAGTATAATTCTATGTATCTATTTAGAAAGCTGGAACAGATCTATATTTATAGATGTGGAAAGGTGTCCACAATGTGCTACAGAATGAAAGGATCAGTTTACAGAACAGAATGTAGAGTATGATCCTATGCAAGTCAAACCATGTGCACACGTACGCATACACAAATAAATATATGAAGAGACAGTTGGAAGCAAATTCACAAAATGTTAATAATGCTTATCTGTGGCTAGTGAGGTTTATGTAATTTAACTTATTTCCTGTTTTTCTAGATTAACTGAACTTTTTAAAATGAGCATGTCTCAATTATGTAATCAGGAAAAATGTTTTCATCTTAGAAAAAATCTATTAGAATTCTGTAATTGTACCTTTAATTATGCTGTAAAAATTTTATCTAAAGCTAAGTTTAAAATATTAATTAGACATTTTGTTACTTGAAAAATCTTTATTAAGCCTCCATTTTTATCAATTAAATGTTGAAGAGTGAGGTACGTTAAGTGGTATCTCTTCATGCTAACCACTAAGCACTTTGGTAAAAACACTCAGCTCCATTTACTCATTTTTAACATTACTTTCCCTGGGCTTCCTTGCTAACAAAAATTAAGTGTTTAGTTTTTAAAAACCACAGTTATTTCCACCAATAAGATGACATGAATTCCACTGATATTAAATTTTTTACAGAGGCAAAAATATTTATGAAACAACCAAAGAAAAAAATACTGTTCAAAGTCTGGGATTTTATCACATTTTTTTACAATAATTGTTTTTAACCTGATTACAAGACTATTTGATCTGAAGGTTACTTTTTCTATAATGCTAAGGATATGGACACTGCATTTATCTGCATATTTCTAAATAACATGGTTCTTGGATAAGTAGATCAGGTCAAACTAGGTGAATTGGTTGAATTCCAACTCTTAGAGTATTAGGTTCAAGACCATAATTAAAGATGAAAATCACTATATTAGTTGAAAAACAATTTCAAAGAACTAGAAGACTATTGACAATGAAATTGAGACCTGGAAAATACTGAATAAAGAAAATCAAGCCACACTTGTTATATATTCAACAAAGGGAGATATTTTATTTTCTTTTGTTCACAAAAAGCAGGAAGAGGAAAAAGGAAAAACAGAAAGTAGAAAATCATGAAACTGATACAGATTTACTGGAAAATAGGCAAAGTAAACAGAAATAGAATTATATTTGAAAAAAATTTAGAACAGTGATATAGATGGGGCATAGACCATAAGATATTAGAGGTAATGAAACAAGTAAATCTAAATAAAAAGGAAACTTATTTGGAAGGGGGAATAATAGTTATTTAGTCTCTGCCCTATCCTTCAATCTCTATATCAAATTAGTCACCAGGTTCTGCTGATGGTCGAATTCCCAGCAAAACTGGAAGATACCAAAAAATGGTCTTCAAGGGGTGGCTGGCTGGCTTAGCTAGTAGAGCATGCAACTCTTGATCTCAGGGTTGTGAGTCTGAGTCCCACATTGGGTGAAGAGTTTACTTTAAAAAAAAAAATAACGTTCTTTGAGTTAATTCTTACTACCTGGTTCTAACTCTCTTCCTTCAATCTCATCCCAGGTTCTTACTGTAAATCCCATTTCTAAACGGCTTTGCTATCGGTGAAAGATAAACTCAAAACTCTAAATTTTATTGAGATTTTATTCACCCATGGGCTTATTTTTTAATTAAGAGATGTTTGCATGAAAAGGCCTTCAAAATTTAAGTGTTTGTCTTCAGCCTGACCTCGCATTTTTTTGGGTTCCATGCCAGATCAGTGTTTCCAGTGGCCCACTGTACATACTTACCTGGACCACAGACCACTGAAACTCACTGGCTCAAAACTTGCTCCTCCTAGCTTCCACATCTTTCCTCATAATTCACATTCTAAAAATTATACCTCCTTAAAGCTCCCTCATCAATTCTCCCCTTCTTTGTTCACAATGCTAAGGGCTTACTTCAAGCACTAATAACTTAGCACCTGGACTTGCAGTCGTTTTTTAAATGGCCTCTCTGCTTCTAATTCACCTTCTATTTGGCCATGACTCTAGAATGTACAATTTATAATTGTAAATTTAGGGACACCTGGGTGGCTCAGTGGTTGAGTGTCTGCCTTTTGCTCAGGGGGTGATCCTTGAGTCCCGGGATCGAGTCCCACATCAGGCTCCCTGCATGGAGCCTGCTTCTCCCTCTGCCTGTGTCTCTGCCTCTTTCTCTCTCTCATGAATAAATAAATAAAATCTTAAAAAAATTGTAAATTTAAAAGTGATCATGTCAGTTGCCTGCTAAAAAAATTCTTCAATGACTTTTCATTGCCATCAGGATAAAAGGACAGACACCGGGGCACCTGAGTGACTGAATTAGTTGGGGGCATCTGCCTTCAGCTCAGGTCATGATCACCAAGTCCTGGGATCCAGCCCCACCTTGGGCTCTCTGTTCAGTAGGGAGTCTGTATTTACCTCTGCCTGTGCCTCTTGCCCTGCTCATGCTCTCTCTCTCTCTCTGTCTCAAATGAATAAATAAAAATTTTTAAAAAGATTTTATTTATTTATTTTTTATTCATGAGAGACACAGAATGAGGAGCAGAGACACAGGCAGAAGGAGAAGCAGGCTCCTTGAGTTGGGAGCCTGATGTGGAACTCGATCCCGGAACCCCAGGATCACAGCCTGAGCCAAAGGCAGACACTCAACCACTGAGCCACCCAGTTGTCCTAAATAAATAAAATCTTAAAAAAAAAAAAAAAAAAAAAGACAGACACCTGGGCATAGTATATAAGGTTCTTTCTGAACTGGTTCCTGTCTACTCTTCTAATCTTTTTCTATCTCATTCTTTAAACATACTGCACCCCAGTCATGCTGAACTGATTGTTGTTTTTCAAACAAGTTATGCCCTCTTACTTCTGGCCCTGTGGTCAAGCTGTTCCTTCAGCCTTACATGACTCCCCTTTATCTTACATCCACCTGCAAGCTCCTACTTGTGCTTGAAGGCTCAACTCATGTTCCTTTTTCTGAAGACTTTTCTGACCTATTTAAGCAGAGTTTCATGTAGACATTTATTCTATAGAATCTATAGTATAGTGTTTTATTTATTGCTGCCTAATAAATTATTCCAAAACTTAGTAGCTTAAAATAATAATACACGTTTATTATCTTATAGTTTTTATGGGTCAGGAATGTGGGAGTCACTTGGCTGGGAAGCTCTGGCTAGGGGTTTCTCATGAAGTTCAGTCAGATGTCAACTGAGGCTGCAGTCACCTAAGGACTTGAATGGGGCTTGACGACCCACTTGTAATTTCTTACTCACATGGCTGGCAAGTTGGTGCTGGCAATGTTGGTGGAGGCCTCAGTTTCTCCTCTTGGGGGCCTCTCCACAGAGCTGCGTAAGAATCTTCATATGATGACTGCTGGCCTCTCCCAAAGCAGCCAATCCAAGAGACCAGAGCAGAAGTTATAAGTCCTTTACAACCTACTTTTTGAAGTCACCCACTATAACCTCTGCTATAGTCTATTGTTCACATAGACTAGCTCTGATTCACTGTGAGAGAAGACTATAGAAGGACATGAATACAACAAAATGAGAATCATTGGGAGCCATCCTGGAGACTGGCTAAGGTGTACAGAGTTGTGAATATACATCCTATTTCACTAGCCAGTGATGACAAAATATCATACATAATTTTAGTGTTCAAATTATGATGGCATAAGCCTTCAGAAACTTGTTCTTCTGCATTTCTGAGGTAGTTCTTGTGTTCTTAGGGTTAATCCCTTCTGTTCTGATGCCCCGACTTTCTGGACCTGCTATAGCCCTGCCATCTCTCACTCCTATGAGGATGCAGCCCCATTGGGCACCACTGTCTTGCACAGATGACTTTCACCATTGCTTCTAGCAGTGACTTTGTGGAATGCTTGATATTCCTCAGAGAAAGTGGAGCAAGCTCAAGGGTACAACTAACAGCAGGCTGTGATGTTAAGTCTTTTCCAAAGGCTTAGTAAATACTTGAAAAGAAATGTAATAGAGCAAGGGGTAACTCTGAGAGATCCACTGTCTGAACTTACCCTCAAATAGCACAAACCTAGGTTCTCTGGAAACTCTATCACTGCCAGATGATGTTGTTTTGCCCTGTGTCCTACAAAAGACAAAGGATAACATAATCTGTCATCAGTCCAATTCCTAAGGTCCTGAATTTTCAGTCTTTAAATAACACCACAGGTGGAACTCAACAATCCACACCATGGCATCCTGGGCCAAGCACTCTTTATTTTTTGTTCACAGCCTCTCCTCTAGCATTGGCTAAAGGAAATAAGCCTGACTTCTCCCAGTGTTCCTTTTCATCTCACTTCCGTGACTCTCACAAACCATTGCTCAAAGAACGGTTCTCTCAACTCTGCAAATACACTCAGTCATGAATAAGCATAGGAGAGTCTAAATTCACACTTACAGAAATTATAATTTGTAGTGGCAGAGAACTACTAAGAGATGTCTTATTAACAGCTCAAAGCATCTACATTTGCTTTATCTTAATTATTTTGGGCCTTCCCCAAGAACTAGACATGGGTGATTGCTTTACATTACATAGCCCAAGAAATCACATCAAGGCGTTTCCCAGAATGAAGAAAGAGTTAGTACCAAAGGAAACTGGATCTTTTGCTTTTAAAGGGTAGCATTTCCAGCTGTTTCACTCATCAAGGTTAAAAAATAAAACCCTGGCTACAGATAGCCTGGTTATGTCACCTGCTGTAATTACTTCTTGGAAAGCATGCCTCCTCTTCATTAGAGAACCCGGGGTCAGACAACAAAAATAGGAGTTGAAAGAGATACTAAAGGAATAAGTGGTGCCTAGAAACAGAAAATAATGTCAAGCAGATTGTGATGTGGAAACAGTGGGCTTCAGTGAAATGATGAGAGATTTTGGAGTAAGGCAAATGTAGGACCATATCACAGTGATGCTTCCCCGATGGTGGGGTAACTCAGACTTCTCTGAGCCTTGCTTTCTTCATCTGTAAAATGATGATAAAAATCTATACCTCACAAGATTGAAGTTTAAATGAGAATATATATAATCAATAAAAAAAAGAAAGTATATAATCAAAATTTGGCAGGCAGACAGGCTGTGCTCCAGGTATAGCGCTGTGTGTTGTGAATAGAGTGGTGAACAGATAACAGTGTGCCACTGTCTTCACTTAGATTCCAGTCCAGAAGGAAAGACAGGCATTAAACAAAGAACTACCTAATTACATATGTGATGAATGCTATAAAGAAGAAGCCTAGGGTATCATAAAAGGAGACCTGACCTAAATTAAGGTGTCAGGGAATGGGGCCTTGAGGTACTAAGGCCAAAGGAAGGGAGTGTGGATTAGGGAAGATCATCTCAGGTTTCAGTAAGAACATTCTAGGCTCGATAAATGGAAACCATTATTGTTATTATTTACCCAATAAATATTTATTGAATATCTACCATATGTACTGCATGACTATGTATACTGAGGGTACAATAAATCTGTGAGCTTGAGAAAATAACTTAATTTCTTTGAGCCTCAGTATGTTTATCTGTAAAATGGGGACATTAATAGTACCTACTTCTTTAGTCCTTTTTTTGAGGATTCAATGAGATAATGAATGTGATTAACATAATGCATGAAATAGGGAGAAGATAATATGTGTTAGTGATATTATTATTCATTAGTCAAGATTGGCTACATAATTTGCAGGGATCATTGCAAATGAAAATGTTGAGCCTGGGGCACCTGGATGGTGTAGTCAGTTAGATCTCTGACCTTTTTTTAAAAATATTTTATTTATTTATTCATGACAGACACAGAGAGGGAGAGAGAGGCAGAGACACAGGCAGAGGGAGAAGCAGGCTCCATGCAGGGAGCCTGACGTGGGACTCAATGCCAGGTCTCCAGTATCACACCCTGGGCTGAAGGCCGTGCTAAACCGCTGGGCCACCAGAGCTGCCCAGATCTCTGACTTTTGATTTTGGCTCAGGTCATAATCTCAGGTTCGTGAGATCAAGCCCTGCATTGGGCTCTGTGGTCAGTGTGGAGTGTGACTGACTTCCTCTCTCCCTCTCCCTCTGCTCCTTCCCCTCCATGCTTGCTCTCCCTCTCTAAAATAAATTTTAAAATCTTAAAAAAAAAAAAGGAAAAAATGCAGGGTCCCATATTAAAAAATTGTTAAGAATTTCAATATAGCAATAGCACAGCATTGAACTCAGTGTGGGGCCCTGGGTGACTGTACAGTCAACGCACTCATGAAGATAGCCCTGTCACTAATTATGTCTTATGTACATATATGTATTTATATAGCTTATCTATCCAAAAAGGTTGAGTTTTTCTTGGGAGCAACTTCCAGAATTCAATTTGCTGAATGTACTTTACAAGGATAAAATATGCACCTATTCAGTATATTAATAGATAATTGGTTGCTTACATTTGATGCAAGAGATGTAATGCAAATGCTTACATTTGATGTTGAGAAAACTCAACATTTAATTATGAAAAACTTTCAAACAGCAAAATTATAAGAATTTTTATTATAAACACATGTATACATCCCATCTAGATTCCACACTTATGTTTTATTATAGTTGCTTTATCAAGTATCTATCCATCTATCCATTCTTTAAACCATCTAATCTGTCTTATTTTTGATGCATTTCAAAGTAAATCCCAGGCATCAGTATCACTAACTGAAATATAATTTACTATTTTTTCTTTTGTTATAAAATTGATACAGAGGAATGCACAAATCTTTTTTCCCCTCAATTTTAGTAGGAATGCACAAATCTAAGAGTGAATTTGCTGAGTTTTGACAAATGCATACACTTCTGTAACCCAAACCTCCAAAACATACCATCACCCTAACATGTTCCTTCATATCCCTTCCTGATCAATATCTCCATCCCAACCTCTCTCAGAGACAACTATTATTCTGATTTTTTTTCCTGATGCTTAAGTTTTTAAAACTTTAAGCTAAGTTTAGGAACAACTTAACTTCAATATCTTCTCGCATGGGTACATAGAAAATTCTGCAGACTGTAAAATAGGAAAGATAAGTCTAGGATACTCTGATGTATTCAAAAAATATTTATTGAATCAAAGAGTAAAACTAGGGAAATCACTTGAGTGCTTTTTGTTTTTAATAGTTTCAGTTTTTGGTAAAAGTGATACAATGTAAATAATATGAAAAATACAGAGAGAAAATAATATGAAAAAATAGAAAATATTAAAAATCACTCATCATAGAGGGATAAGCATTTTTAGTATTTTGATAGAATTTCTCCCAGGTATCCAATTATATATAAACATAGTGAAGTGGTCTGTGTTGAAATTTGATAAAATGGGATCATAGATGTGTACAGTCTGTTTCTATCACCTGACAATATGCTATAGATATCTTTCCTCATCAAGAGATATATAGTGGAATCATCATTTTTAATGGGCATGCTAGATGGATATACCATTCTTTAAACAACCACTTATCTACCCATGAATATTTAAGATTGTTTCCAAATTTTCAATACTATCAGCAATATTGCAGCAAACATCCTTGTGCATACATCCTTTTCTGAACTGTGTAATTATTTCTTTAGGATAAGTTGCAACCTGAACATGTTTTACATGCTGGTTTATGATACCAAAATGCCTTTCAGAAAGGAGGCAGAAATTTATATCCCCTGACTGGCAAATCTTAAAATTCTTAAGAACACAAAATGAATACTTTATTATTTTTCCTTTAGGATAGAGAGGAAAATACATGAAAGGCTAAGATTTAAACCAGCAAGTAAGAATGTATACAGAAGTTCCCCTATATGTGCACTGCAAATCAGTGGAGTTGAACTCTATTCAATAAAAAGATTATTGGGATACCTTGTTGGCTCAGTCAGAGGAGCATGTACCTCTTGATCTTGGGGTCATAATTCAAGACCCACGTTGGGTGTAGAGATTACTAAAAAATAAATAAATAAATTTAAAAAAATAAAAAGAGGGGATCCCTGGGTGGCTCAGCGGTTTGGCGCCTGTCTTTGGCCCAGGGCGCGATCCTAGAGTCCCGGGATCAAGTCCTGCATCGGGCTCCCGGCATAGAGCCTGCTTCTCCCTCTGCCTGTGTCTCTGCTCTCTCTCTCTATATATATATATCTATCATAAATAAATATTAGAATTAAAAAATAAAAAATAAAAAGATTAAGTGACTTCTACATGCAAAGATAAGGCTAGCTTTCGTAGGAGCAAAAAGATGAGAAGCCATGAACTCAGTATTCAGAATACTCATACCCTAATAGCACAAATTCCTTGGGTACAGTGATTTATCTTCACGTAAGCCTATATGATAAGAATGGGCTCTAAGGATTTATTCTTAAAGGAGCAATGACTCCTACATTAAATTTGGTACAAAACTCAAAAGATATTAAGTGAAAAGCAAATCTCTCTCCCATCCTTATTCCCCAGTTACATACCTTTACTGATTGCACTTCTCTTCAGAGATTACCACTGTTACTAATTTCCTGTATATCTTCCCAGAAAATGCTCTGGATATGTGTATACAGGAATATGTTGAGCAGGCAAAAAATTGTCTATTCATCGCTTACTCATTCAAGCAGGTTTTTAATACAATAGTATTATACTCACACATGATTTTACATGTTGCTTTTAAAATTATACCTTGGGGATTGTTCCATATTCATTCATATAGAATTGCTTCATTTATTTTTAACTTGAAGATTGTTCCATAGCCATCTTAGGGAGCTGCTTCATTCTTTTTTACCGTCAACCCAATTTTTCATCCCATGAATGTATTTAACCGGTACTCTATTTAATGGACTACTAGCTTGCTCCCAACATTTTGCTAACATAATCCTGCAAGGAATACCCCTCTAGATAATGAAATCATTTTGGAATCAGAAATTACTGTATTGGGGGCGCCTGACTGGCTCGGTCGGTAGAGCATGGGACTCTTGATCATGAGTTCAAGTCCCACGAGATTGCTTAAAATTAAAAAACTGAAAAAAGAAATGACTGTGTGAAGATAATAATATTTGGCTTCAAATCAAATTAATAAGTACTTGGTAGAAACATTTGTTGGGTTTTAGATGAGTATTAAAAGAACAAAGCATTAAAGAGAT